TTTTTTTTTTTTTTGCTGTTGAGTTGTTTGAGTTCCTTGTATATTGTAGTTATCAGTCTCTATTGAATGATTAGTTTGCAAACATTTTCACTCATTTAATCCTGCTATCTCTTCACTCTATTGATTGTTTCTTTTGCTGTGTGGAAGTTCTTCAGTTTAATATAGTCCCATTTGTCTATTTATGTTTTCGTTGCCTGTGCTTTTGAAATCTAGCCATAAAATCTTTACCTAGACCAATGTCCTAAAGCATTTCTTCTGCTTTCTCCTAGTAGTTTTATACTTTTAAGTCTTACATTTAAGTCTTTAATCCATTTTGAGTTGATTTTTGTGTATGGTGAGAAATAGGGGTCTAGTTTCATTCTTATACATATGAAAGAATGTGAAGCCAGCACCATTTATTGAAGAGAGTAACCTTTCCCCAATTATATATTGTTGGCACCTTTGTTGAAAATTGATTGGCTGTAAATACGTGGATTAATTTCTGAGTTCTGCATTCTGTTTTCTTAGTCTGTGTATCTGTTTTTGTACCAATACCTTGCTAGTTTTTCTTTGTAATATCTTTTGAAGTCAAGTAATGTGATCCCTTCAGCTTTATCCTTTTTCCTCAGTATTGATTTGGCTATTTGGGGTGTTTTGTGGTTCCATACAAATGTTGAGATTATTTTTTATATTTCTGTAAATAATATCATCGGTATTTTGATGGGATTGCATTGGATCTGTAGATTGCTTTGAGTAGTGAAGTCATTTTAACAATATTAATTCTTCCAATCCATGAACATGGGATGCCTTTCGATTTTTTAGTGTTCTCAATTTCTTTCATCAGTATTTTGTAGTTTCTGTTGTAGGGATCTTTTGTCTTCTTGATTAAGCTTATTCCTAGGTATTGTAATTGTCTTGTAACTATGCAGATAGGACTGCTTTCTTGATTTCTTTTCTTTTTCTTTTATCTTGTCTTTCTTTCTTCCCTTCTTTCCTTCCTTCCTTCCTTCTTTCCTTTTCTTTTTTTTTTTTGAGACTGAGTCTCACTCAGTTGCCCAGGCTGGTCTCAAACTCCTGACCCTAGGTGATCTGCCTGCCTCAGTCTCTCAAAGTGCTGGGATTACAGGTGTGAGCCACCACAGCCAGTCCTTGTCTGGTTTTTGTATCAGAAAAATGCTGGCTTTGTAGAATGAGTTAGGAATTCCTTCAATTTTTTTGAATAGTTTGAGAAAAATTGGTATTAACTGTTTGTTAAAAGTTTTGTGGAATTCAGATGGGGACACCAGGCAGGCCTGTACTCAGGCACCAGTGATGGCAGCAGTGGACTGGGCTTGCCAGTCCTCAGGCCCCTGAGTGATGTATGTGGGCACTGGTGGTGATGGGTCCAGGCAGGAGGTCCTTCAGCCTCCAGGAGATTTATTTGGATACTTGCAGTGGCAGTAATGGACCAAATGGGAAGGCAAGTTCTTGGGCCCTTGCACAATTTGTGTGGCATCCACTGTAGCAGTAGAAAAAGTGGGCCAACCCTCTGGCCCCCAAGTGGCATACACAGGCAGCAGCAGTGGCAGCAGCAGGCTGGACAAGCCAGTCCGCAGGACCCCATGTGACATGCGTGGATGAGTGTTGGCCATGGCAATGTCAGTCAGGCACTAGCAGTACAGCACATGGTGGACCTGTCCTCAGGCCCCTTGAAGGCATGTGTAGGTGTGTGGTTGTCCTGCTGCTAGGGAAGGTGGGGTTGCTGTAATTGTCAGTGGCCCTGGGCGGGTAGCTCTTAGGCTCTGGGGCATGCATACTTTGACTCCCTTTGTCCCAGGGAGAGCCACTAGGTGCACTGCGCTTCCTGTTTCCTGGGATGTAGGGCATTGCATGTGCTAGAGTGCTGGGGACCTAGCTGCACTGCTGGGTTTAGCTGGCATTACAATACTGTAGCCCTCTAGGTGGATGTAGGAGAGTATCAGCAGGGCTTCAGGAGTATGGAGATTCAGGGTTGTTAGGCCCCAGAACAGGATGTGTATGGTGAAGGCTGGACTCTTAAAATAGCACTATGTTGAAGCTGTTTGGATCTCAGGGCATGGGTGATGTGGGACCCAATACGAAGTCCCATTGTGAAACAAATGCCATTGCATAGATTTCAGAAGTCTCAAGGCCTGCGAGGGCCAAGGTGCTAGCTCATGGCTAGGATTACAGGAGTCTATAGTGGAAATGGGGACCTCTGAAGATCTCTCAGTTATCCTTTCCCTGGAATGGGGACTTCCTCCTGGTTCAGAGCTAGTCCCAGCTAGGCTGCTTCCCTTCCCTTTTCTTCCATGCCTCAGAGGTCCACTGTCACTTCCCTACTGAATTCCAGTGTTTTCTCTTAGATGCTCATTTAATGTGTGATTATCTGCTCACTGTTTTAGTTCTTTGCAGAGGGGGTGGGTGCTAGGCGCCTCTATTCAGCCATTTGATAGCTTCTCCAGCTCATTTTTTAATTGTTGAATAATATTTTTATCGTGTGAATGTACCAGTTTGTTCATCTTTTTACCTATTGAGGGATATCTTGTTGCTACCAATGTTTGGCAGTTATGAATAAAGCTTCTATAAACATCCATGTATAGGCTTTTATGTGGACATAAATTTTCAGTTATTTTGGTTAAATACCCAGGAATGTGATTTGTTGGATCATATGGTAAGACTATGCTTAGTTTTATAAGGAACTATCAAACTGCCTTCCATAGTGCCTGCACAATTTTGCATCCCCACCAACAGTGAAAGAGAGTTCTTGTTGCTCCACATCCTCACCAACATTTGATGTTGTTTTTGTATTTTACCCATTCTCATAAGTGTAGTGTAATTTCATTGCTGTTTTAATTTGCAATACCCTGATGACATATGATGTTGAATAGCTATCTATATGTGTATTTGCTCTTTGTAGATCTTCTTTGGTGAGGTGTCTGTTTCGATTTTTGTGCCCATTTAAAAACTAGGTTGTTTGTTTTATTATTGTGGAGCTCAAAAGTTCTTTGCATATTTTGGATACAAGTCCCTATCATCTATGTGTTTTGCAAATATCTTCTCTCAGTCTGTGGTTTGTCTTTTCACTATCTTGCAATTTCTTTTGCAAAGCAAACATTTTAACTTTAATGAAGTCCAACTTAACAGTGTTTTCTTTCTTGGATTATGTTTTTGATGTGGTATCTAAAAAGTCATCACCCAAGCCAAAGTCACCTAGATTTTCTCCTATGCTATCTTCTAGAATTTTCATAGTTTTACATTTTACATTTATGTCTATGTTTAATTTTGAGCTAATTTTTGTGAAAACTGTTAAGATCTGTGTCTAACTTCCTCCTCCTCCTCCTTTTTCCTCTTCCTCCTCTTCTTCTTCTCCTTCTCCTTCTTCTTCATGTGGGGGTCTACTTTCTCTAGCACCATTTGTTGAAAACGCTATCCATTCACCACTAAGTTGCCTTTGCTCCTTTTTCAAACAGCAGTTGATTATTTTTGAGAGGGTCTATTTCTAAGCTCTGTATTCTGGTCGTTTGATCTATTTGTACATTCTTTCACCAAAACCACACTGCCTTGATTACTGTAGCTTTGTAGTAAGTCTTAATGTTAGCTAATGTCAGTTATCTGACTTTGTTCTTTTAATTTTTTTCCCCCTGTGAATGAACAGTACTTTCTTGTTTCTTTGCATGGCTAATTTTTTAAAAGCAAATAAATTGGAGATTCCTTTAATGCCAAGTTACACAATCAAAAATACAACAATCTCTTTCCATTTGCTTTTTGCAGTTTGTGTAACTTCAGGGCAAAATCCAGAGCAAGTCAACTGGCAAATCTGGGGGCTAGTGATTCTTTTTTTTTTCCCAGACATTTTAAACACTAGAATGAGGTAGCTCTAGAAATCAAATTCTGTCCCCTTTTCCCACAGGGTGTTTTTTTTTTGTTTGTTTTGTTTTGACAGGGTCTCATTCTGTCACCCAGGTTGAAGTACAGTGGTGTGATCATGGCTCATTGCAGCCTCAACTTCCCCAGCCCCAAACAATCCTCCCAACTCAGCCTCCCAAGTAGCTGGGACTATAGGCACATGCCACCATGTCCAGCTAATTTTTGTATTTTTTGTAGAGATGGAGTTTCGCCATGTTGCCCAGACTGGCTTTGAACTCTTGGCCCAAGCGATCGCCTGCCTTGCCTTCCCCAAGTTCCAGGATTACAGGTGTGCCTGGCTTCCCTTTCCCAGAGTGTATTGTTGCTTCTTGTGGCTTGTAGTTGCTTGTTTAATTACTTTTCTAAATATTTTTTATAAAGACTATTCTTTGTCCTGTGTGGCTATTAAATTCTCTGTCCAGTTAGCTTAGTGGTCAGCTAGTGACTTGAGATTTCTTTAAACATCTGGAGCAAAAACAAAAACAAAGCAAAATACCAAAAGCAAAACCAAAAACTCCCCTGATCTTTGCAGATTGGCTGTGTTGGAGCACTTTCTTAATGCTTAGCCAGGCTATTCACAACTCCACCTTAGCCTTCACTTTCTGCATGCATGGAAGCTAGAGATCAGCCAGGGGTGAAAGTTGAGGATTTTCTCAGGTCTCTTCTGAGCATGTATCCAGGCTTGGGCACCTTGGTGAACTTCTAGACTCCCTGGTATATACAGAGATTTCCAAAGCCTTTTTTCTCCCATATATCTTTGCATATTTTCCAGGGTTTTGGTTGTGTCCACTGCTTGCTCCCACTGTTAGCCCTTGCTCAGGAGTATATTTGCCTTTAAATGTTTACAACGAACACCACCCAGGAGGTTGCTCCAGCCCTAAGAAAGTTCTAAGGTGTGCAAAACAAAGGCAAACCCCTGAGTGTGACTCCCTCAGGCAGCAACCAGACAGGTCAAAACACACAACCACAGTTCTTTGATAATAAGGCCTGTATTGCTCCTTCTGGCATGAGCAAGCTGTACAACTGGTAATAAAAAGCATCATTAAATTATGGGGATGGCCAGGAGCGGTGGCTCACACCTGTAATCCCAGCACTTTGGGAGGCTGAGGTGGGTGGATCACGAGGTGAGGAGATTGAGACCATCCTGGTTAACATGGTGAAACTCCGTCTCTACTAAAAATACAAAATAATTAGCCGACGTGGTGACACGCACCTGTAGTCCCAGCTACTTGAGAGGCTGAGGCACGAGAATCGATTGAACCCAGGAGGCAAAGGTTGCAGTGAGCTGAGATTGGGCCAGTGCACTCCAGCCTGGGCCACAAAAGCGAGACTCCATCTCAAAAAAAAAAAAAAAAAATTATATGGACAGAAATGACTCTGCTAGTGAATGAATAAATCATTTAGGTTTCATGGTTAGTAAGTAGAATTTTGAAAGTAACCATCTGATCTTTATTAATCTCAGTGTATATTATATTTCTAGAATTTGGACTCATATCAAGATACTCTGAAGAATAACAACCCTTTAGGATAGCCACTGCAACATCATGACCAAAGACAATGAACCTATTGTGAAAAGCTCCTGTTTTGTTGGCCTTATGATCATAATAGTTGGAACCATCATCCAGTTCTCCGATGAAAGTGAATTTGCAGTAGACAAGTCAAAAAGAGGCCTTACTCAAGTTCCAAAAGACCTACCGCTGAAAACCAAAGTCTTAGATATGTCTCAGAACTACATATCTGAGCTTCAGGTTTCTGACGTGAGCTTTCTGTCAGAGTTGAAAGTTTTGATACTTTCCCATAACAGAATCCAGCTACTTGATTTCAGTGTCTTCAAGTTCAATCAGGATTTGGAATACTTGGATTTATCTCATAATCAGTTGCAAAAGATCTCTTGCCATCCTGTTGTGAGTTTCAGGCATTTAGATCTCTCATTCAATGACTTCAAGGCCCTGCCCATTTGTAAGGAATTCGGCAACTTGTCGCAACTGAATTTCTTGGGATTGAGTGCTATGAAGTTACAAAGATTAGATTTGCTGCCAGTTGCTCACTTGCATCTAAGTTATATCCTTCTGGATTTAAGAAATTATTATGTGAAAGAAAATGAGAAAGAAAGTCTACAAGTTCTGAATGCAAAAACACTTCACCTTGTTTTTCACCCAAACAGTTTATTCTCTATCCAAGTGAGTATATCAGTTAATACTCTAGGGTGCCTACAACTGACTAATATTAAATTGAATGATGACAACTGTCAAGTTTTCATTAATTTTTTATCAGAACTCACCCGAGGTCCAAACTTACTGAATTTTACCCTCAACCACATGGAAACAACTTGGAAATGCCTGGTTAGAGTCTTTCAATACCTTTGGCCCAAACCTGTGGAATATCTCAATATTTACAATTTAACAATAATTGAAAGCATTCACGAAGAATATTTTACTTATTCTAAAACGACATTGAAAGCATTGAAAATAGAACATATCACAAACCAAGTTTTTCTTTATTCGCAGACAGCATTGTACACAGTGTTTTCCGAGATGAACATTATGATGTTAACCATTTCGGATACACCATTTATACACATGCTGTGTCCTCATGCACCAAGCACATTCAAGTTTTTGAACTTTACCCAGAATGTTTTCACAGATAGTATTTTTGAAAAATGTTCCACGTTAGTTAAATTGGAGACACTTATCTTACGAAAGAATGGATTAAAAGACCTTTTCAAAGTAGGTCTCATGACTAAGGAGATGCCATCTTTGGAAATATTGGATGTTAGCTGGAATTCTTTGGAATCTGGTAGACATGAGGAAAACTGCACTTGGGTTGAGAGTATAGTGGTGTTAAATTTGTCTTCAAATATACTTACTGACTCTGTTTTCAGATGTTTACCTCCCAGGATCAAGGTACTTGATCTTCACAGCAATAAAATAAAGAGCATTCCTAAACAAGTCATAAAACTGGAAGCTTTGCAGGAACTCAATGTTGCTTTCAATTATTTAACCGACCTTCCTGGATGTGGCAGCTTTAGCAGGCTTTCTGTATTGATCATTGATCACAATTCAGTTTCCCACCCATCAACTAATTTCTTCCAGAGCTGCCAGACGATGAAGTCAGTAAAAGCAGGGAACAATCCATTTCACTGTACCTGTGATCTAAGAGAATTTGTCAAAAATATAGGCCAAGTATCAAGTGAAGTGATAGAAGGCTGGCCTGATTCTTATAAGTGTGACTACCCAGATGGTTATAGAGGAACCCCACTGGAGGACTTTCACATGTCTGAATTATCTTGCAACATAACTCTGCTGATCGTCACTATTGGGGCCACCATGCTGGTGTTGGCTGTGACTATGACCTCCCTCTGCATCTACTTGGATCTGCCCTGGTATCTCAGGATGGTGTGCCAGTGGACCCAGACCCAACGCAGGGCCAGGAATGTACCCTTAGAAGAACTCCAAAGAAATCTCCAGTTTCATGCTTTTATTTCATATAGTGAACACGATTCTTACTGGGTGAAAAATGAATTAGTACCAAACCTAGAGAAAGAAGGTATGCAGATTTGTCTCCATGAGAGAAACTTTGTTCCTGGCAAGAGCATTGTGGAAAACATCATCAACTGCATTGAGAAGAGTTACAAGTCCATCTTTGTCTTGTCTCCCAACTTTGTCCAGAGCGAGTGGTGCCATTATGAACTCTACTTTGCCCACCACAATCTCTTCCATGAAGGATCTAATAACTTAATCCTCATCTTGCTGGAACCCATTCCACAGAACAGCATTCCCAACAAGTACCACAAGCTGAGGGCTCTCATGACACAGCGGACTTATTTGGAATGGCCCAAGGAGAAAAGCAAACGTGGGCTTTTTTGGGCTAACATTAGAGCCGCTTTTCATATAAAATTAACACTAGTCACTGAAAACAATGATGTGAAATCTTAAAAAAAATTAAGGAAATCCAATCTAAGAAACCATTATTTACTTGAATTGTGTGAACAGTACAGTTCTAAGTAACTGTCTGGAGGTGTCTCGGTTATCCTCATGCCTTCAGGAAAGACTTAACAAAAAAAACAATGTTTCATCTGGGGAATTAGGCTAGGGGGTGAGGTGGTACTCAACTTGCCAGTGAGAGACAGCCCAGTCTCTTTTGGTTTAATCATTATGTTTCAAATTGAAACAGTCTCTTTTGAGTAAATGTTCAGTTTTTCAGTTCCTTTTCCAAATGGATTCTGTGTGAGCAACAGTTTATATGGCTTCATGGCTGCAAGAAAACAGTCAACTTCAGCATCATATGCTCTGGGCCTTAGAGTGCCCTGTGAATCCTATTGGTCTCTGGGTCAGCATCATTATTTTCTTCAACTTTGGGGCTTGGGGAAAAAATGAGATCAGCTATGACATATAAAAAAGTCTTTTGTTTCACGTATGTGTAATAGCTTATTTAATATTTTATCCTGCTACACAAATATATAATTAACCAATGAGGTCTCATGACATAATAGTGTAGGTATGTAAAGGAAAATATGGACTTAGTAATAAGCTGTTGAGGTGAAAGACGTAGATTTATATACTTTCCAAGAAAACTCAGGGCCAAATATATTTGTAACTAGATATTGAATGGGACTTTTCTGGTTGTCTCAGAATTCTGGCTGAAGCCTCAAAGCTGACAAAAGACAGTAAATGCACCCACATGATACTAGACACAGCTGGCCTAGACTTATAAAAAGATCAGAAAGAGACCAATGACTCCCAGTCCATCCTATCCATCTCTAGAAGACTAGAGTCAAAAGAGTGATTAAAGAGTCATTAAGTGGAGGTTCTAGATTAAGAGGGAGATTGCTTTGAATTTCTTGCAAAGACAAGTGTGAGGGGCTCTAAGCATGGTAGAAGGTAGCCTGGAATCCCACTCCAAGACTGAAAGCTTACAGATTAACAGGAGCATGCTGGTTCAGTGCAGCAGATGGGGGTGGCTTGAAAGCTCTTGGAAGAGCTTCATGAATGCTGGAGTTTGGGATGAGGATGGGCACTGGCAACACAAAAACTGGTAAACAGTGCTTGGCAAATACAAGTGCTTGATAAATATTTGTTGAATGAATATGAATGCTTCCCACCTTGGAAATTCAGAAGGTGAAACTTTGGCTTGGGCAACCCAAAATGGCAGGATGAGAGAAGAGAAGCAGTGATAGCAACCTGCCCTTCCGTTATTGGCATGGTAAGAGTATGTGAATTTCTTCATATGGCTTTGACTATGGGAGGGTAGCTGGGCTTGCATTGTCATGATGGGATGTCAGCCAATAGGGCGGCATGTTGTGCAAAGAGACTATAGCAGTAAGAGGACATGGGGTTGGGCAGAAGAGGAGTTCAGGGTGGAGGTTGCTGCAAGAGATCAGCTAGATAATGTGCCACTGCATCATGGAACTGTGCAATGTGGGGTACACTCAAGGCCTTCCAATAACTCACACATGTGCCCTGTGAAAAAGCCAGCATATGGACTCTGCCATGATAGCAGGCAGGAACATGTTAGCCTGTCTGCCTTATTCAATAGTTAACTACAGGAAGATCCACTCTTCTTTGTGTAATACTCTCTTCCTTTGCAATGACATGGGAACCTAGAATATAGAGAAGACAGAGACAGTGGAGAAAGAATAAAGAAACCGATTACATTCCTGCTTCATTTCACTGTAAGAAAGGCCAAGCGGAATTTTGAATGAGGTGTGACACTGCTGTTAAATTGGACTGGACTGGACATTTTAATCCCTTAAATAGAGGTGCAATGAGTAAAATGAGATTTGTCACTAAAATTTATGGTACCTGCCCAAGAGTCAGGAGTGATGATGGAAGGAGATCCAACAGAACTTTGTTGTAAGGCAGTGGTTAGAGAAGAATGAAGCCCTTGCTTTCTGGACTTAGCTCATTCCATTAACTGGTTTTGGCCAGGCACAGTGGATCACACCTGTAATCCCAGCACTGTGAGAGGCTGAGGCAGGCGGATCACTTGAGGTCAGGAGTTTGACACCAGCCCAGCCAACATGGTGAAACTCCATCTCTACTAAAAATACAAAAATTAGCTGGGTGTGATGGTATGCACCTGTAGTTCCAGCTACTCGGGAGGCTGAGGCAGGAGAATCGCTTGAACCTGGGAGACAGAGGCTGTAGTGAACTGAGATAGTGCCACTGCATTCCAGCTTGGGCAACAGAGCAAGACTCCATCTCAAAAAAATTAAAAGAAATGAATAAATAAACAGGCTTCATAATACCTGTAACAAAATAAGGCTTAATGATATTTTATTAGTGTCATCTTCTGTCTGTGTCAGCCCTTCCTTGCTCTTCAGGAGAACACTCATTTTCCTCCCTAGGCTCTATCCCGAAATGGCATATTCTTCCACAACCTCTATTGAACAGATTTGATGAACAGTTGCCTAATCTAAAACCAATAAAAACAACAAACAACCAAAAAAACTGCCACAGATTCTAAATGATCAAAACAATAAAACATAAAACAACAAAAACTGTCAAAGATTCTAAATGATCAAATATTTTTAAATGGTATCAATGTTTCCTACAAAATGTTGTTGACATTGAAAATATAGAATTTTAGCATTAACTTTTTTTTTAAAAACCTACATCCCCTTGGTGGAGGTGCCTCCCTGTAGTCGAAGGTAGAGTCCCCGCAGCCACTCTCTGTCACATTCCTCTACATTCTTTCCATTTCTTTTCTTCACAGCACACATCACTGTCTGAAATTGTCTTGCTTGCTTAGTTGTTTACTTGTTTTCTCTTTCTCTCCCCTAAAGTATAAGCTCCAGGAGAACGGGAGCCTTCTCCACCTGTGCCCTGCCTCTCCCCAGTGCCAAGGGGACCCTGCACACCACATTGTAGATGCGCAGTAAAAACTCATGGGATTAGCAAATGGCTCTGAAATGGTCCCATGCAGGACATGTCTGTGAAGTCCTGGATTTTATCTAAAAAGCCCAGGCAGGCAGGGGCGGGGGGTCAACAGGGCCACAGTTCCACCTTGATCTGCCCCCTGGGCGGCACTGCCATTGGCAGTGGACATCTTCGCCTTGCACACTGCTCCTCCCCATCCACCACTGGAAGACTGTTGGGAAAAGCCACAAAGGAGAAAGGACTTACAGAGTGCCTACATAAATTGGTTATGAGAGAGAGATCCAAGATGGCTGATCACTAGCAGCTTGGGATTGTAGTTCCCAGTGAAAGTGCAGAGAACGAGAGGACGCCACACTTTCAGATGGATTTTTGTTGCTCACACACCAGGAAATTCCCAGCGGAGGAGCCCCACGGGTCACCAGCGTGACTCTTGTGGCCAGTGAGGCAGTTTTGCCGCTGCCTTGGTGTGGTGGTTCTTGGTGCAGAGTCAGAAAAGCACCATCAATCATAACGCCGCTGTTTTGGCCGGCGCAGTGGGTTGCTCAGATTTTAGTGCTGGGAATCAACAAGTTAGACATCCACTCAGAAACCCAGTTATAAAGACAGTAATTATAAAGACCACAGATGGATAAATCTATAACAAAGGGAAGAAAACAGCCTAAAAAGGCTGAGAATACCCAAAATCAGAACGCCTCTTCCTCTACAGGGGATCACAGTTCCTTATCAGCAACAGAACAAGGCCTGATGGAGAACGAGTGTGTTCCATTAACAGAAGCAGCCTTCAAAAGGGGGATGATAAGAAACTTCTGTGAATTAAAAGAACTGTTCTAACCCAATGCAAAGAAACTAAGAACTTTGAAAAAAGGTTTGATGAAATGTTAACAAAAATACACAATTTACAGAGAAATATAAATGAATTAATGGAGCTGAAAAACACAACACGAGAACTTCGGGAACTATGCACAAGTTTTAACAGCCGATCGATCAAGCAGAAGAAAAGATATCAGAAGTTGAAGACCAACTTAATGAAATAAAACAAGATGACAAGATTAGAGAAAAAAGCATAAAAAGGAAAGAGCAAAGTCTCCAAGAAATATGGGACTATGTGAAAAGACCTAATCTACACTTGTTAGGTGTACCTGAATGTGACGAAGAGAATCAATCCAAGCTGGAAAATATGCTTCAGGATATTATTCAGGAAAACTTCCCCAACCTAGCAAGGCAAGACAATATTCAACTCCAGGTAATACAGAGAACACCACAAAGATATTCCTCAAGAAGACCAACCTCAAGGCACATAATCGCCAGATTCACCAGGGTTGAAATGAAGGAGAAAATACTGAGGGCAGCCAGAGAGAAAGGTCAGGTTACCCAGTAAGGGAAGCCTATCAGACTCACAGCAGATCTCTCAGCAGAAACCCTACAAGCTAGAAGAGAGTGGGGGCCAATATTCAACATCCTTAAAGAAAAGAACTTTCAACCCAGGATTTTACATCCAGCCAAACTAAGCTTCATAAGCAAAGGAAAAATAAAATCTTTTGTGAACAAGCAAGCACTCAGAGATTTCATCACCACCAGGCCTGCTTTATAAGAGCTTCTGAAAGAACCACTATACATAGAAAGGAACAACCAGTATCAGCCTTTCTAAAAAATACCAAAAAGTAAAGCACATCAACATAATTGATAATTTACATCAACTAATAGGCAAAACAGCCAGCTAACATTAAATGGCAGTATTAAACTCACATATATTATTATTAACTCTAAATTTAAATCGACTAAATCCCCCAATCCAAAGACACAGTCAGGCAAAAAAAGCCAAAACCCATCAGTATGCTGCATTCAGACCCATGGAAGGATACATAAAGACTCAAAACAAAGGGATGGAGAAAGATTTACCAAACAAATGGAGAGCAAAAATAAATACATACATAAAAAGCATGAGTTGCTTTAAAGCAACAAAGACCAAAAGAAGCAAAGAAGGATATTACATAATGATAAAAGGATCAATGCAACAAGAAGAGCTAAAGATTCTAAATATATACGCACCCAATACAGGAATACCCAGATATATAAAACTTATAAAGAGACTTAGACTCCCACACAATAATAGTGGGAGACTTCAACATCAATATTAGACAGATCAATGAGACAGAAAATTAACAACGATATCCAGGATTTGAGCTCAGATCTGGAACAAGTAAGCTTAATTAATATTTATAGAACTCTCCACTTTAAATACACAAAATATACAATCTTATCAGTACCACATCACATCTATTTACAGGTTTAAATGAAATATTGGTTGGCTGCTTGTTTGTTATTTTCTTCCCTCATTTTTTATTTATTTTTTTAATGTTTTTCATGTCTCTATTATTAAGCACAATTATAGGCATACCCATTTTTAGACTGCATTCTAGCCCGGGCAATAAAGCAACACCCCTGTTCTCTCTCCCTCTTCCTTTTTCTCTTTCTTCCTCTCCTTCATTCTTTTTTTTCTTTTTATTCTTTTTTTATCTTTCTTTCTTCTTTTTTTCTTTTTTTTTTTAAGAAAAAAAAAATTGGTTATGAGTAACACAAACAAGGAACAACAAACTGTAGAAGTCCGCAGGAGGCCTCTGAGGAGGAAGTCCTCTCCATTCCTCATGTTCCGGTGCAGGGTGACCTCGGCTCTGTTACCATAAACAATTGTGCTCAAGGATGTAAAACCCCTTTGTAGCACTATGACGTAGCCAGACTTGTAGGCACCTTGTAAGGCCCATGTTCCATCAGCAGTACATAGACAGTAAGCTAAAGATAACCACATGTTCTTGTTTTGTGAAACTCCCAAACTGCCAATGTTATCAATCCTTAGAATGATACATCAGTTCCAACCACTGATTCACTTTCTGCTCACTGATTCATTCCACCATCACTCCACCCCTACCCTGTAGATCAAAGTGATTGTAATCAATAAACAGTGTGGATGATCAGAGCTCAGGGCCTTCATTGTTTTCTCCAGAGTAATAAAGTGGTGGCCCCCTGGTCCCACCTTTTCTCTTAATCTGTCTTTCATTCCTTTGTCACCACTGAATATGGGGTACCCATGGGTGATGTGGGACTCATGGATTCCCTACATAGCTGGGGCAACTGAGCTCCAGGTTTAGCAGGACATTGAGAGAAGGGAAAGGCTTTCTTTTG